TTTCGTAATAAATACTGACAAGGCTCAACCTCTTTCATATGCCTAAATCCCAACTTATTCTAAACTAAATATAAATAATAAAATTCGAATTAAAAATATAAAATAGTTAGATTTTATTTTTAAAACACTTGGCGAGCATTTATTAGACAAAAGCAGTTGCTTTGTTCTTTCTGCTGGTAATAATTGGCGCGTTTTGCGTACTTTTATTCACTTCCCTTATTCAAGCCTTTCGAATGATACTTCTTGAGGTTCATAATAGGGCTGTGGAAGATATACTGAGTCATTTGTTTGAGTGCTATAAAAATGAGTAAATGTTTATACTCGAATTAATTCCTTTTTAGTGATAAATTTGAGAGAATTGATCACAAGATTGCAGATTACGACGGAGTTATTTACAGAATAAACACCGCTAGAGAGAGCAGAAAGAAGTTGTGTATTAGCATTTCCATTAGGTTTTTTAAAGAGCTTCTGGAACATGGCGTCAAAGATGTGAGACCTCCGAATATTATTTTCTTAAAATCCTCAATTCATTTATTTATTCTCCTCTTTTCAGCTCTTACAACGTGTTTATGGAAACATGCTTCAAGAGACTCCAGAAAGCGGATATAATGTTACATTATCCGTCGATTTTACAGATTTACCTGTAAGTGCTGGTGACTGCAATGCCTTGGCTAGAAAGATTGCGTTGTTGAAACGCAATTGTTTTGCATCTGTCTTCGAAAAATTTTTCATGATTCAAAGTCAGGGAGTAACTGACCTTAAACGAGCTATAATTAACTACAGAGATGATGAAACCTTGTTAGTTTATCCATACTATTGTTTTTTCGTCTTGTATCTTGGCCCCGCTTAGTTTCTTTTTAAACTCATAGATACATACAAGCTATGCCAGATCGTGTTACAGTTATTTTTAGCACGATATTCAAAGATGCCGATGATATTATTATAGGCAAACTATTTATGCAGGTTAGTGCTTTGTCCTCTGTATTGCCATATATAATGTATTGCTTATTTAGGAATTCACTGAAGCTCGTAGAAGACTTGATCGTGCTCCACAGGTATTATACTCTGGCAGAGTTCCACCATCAGAACTACAGGGCACGTCTGCAGCAACAGGAGACAACATTGCTTATATAACTTTTGGTAATTGAATATATTTATATTTGTGAAACTACATCCTTTATATATTTATTTATTTGTGAGATACGAATTGGTGGATAACAATAAAACTTTGAGAAAATTGTATAGGGCTGTATTCTAGTGTGTTGCTAAGAGTGACAAGGCTCACTGACGATGAGACCAACTTCTGGAAATATACCAAGCCCACGTTCTGATTT